GAACCAAGTGTTGGTAACAATCAGTCCATTTGAAGAAAGTTGTCTTCTGGGTTTAGGCACTGTGTATTCTTCGTTTTGGCCGACGTTTCGGAGGAACGTAGCGCCTCCATCTTCAGAGCAGTCGAATAGCTGCGGAGAGCAGTTCCTCCGAAACGTAGGCCAAAACGAAGAATACACGGTGCCTAAACCCAGAAGACAACTTTCTTCATTGTCATCGCCGTGAAAACCTCAAAACTTAACATAATCAGTCCATTTCTTTCACAAAAGTCAATAAGCATTTGACCCCTGTGATTCCGTCTTCCTAGTCCGTGTGATCCAACAATATTCTGATATGATTCATCTCCAACAATGCTATTCCAGTCTCCTAATATGATGCTGTTTGTGTCACCTCTTCCATCTTCCTGAAGAATTTCTTCAATGGTGTCATACACTTTTTCCACTTCATCATCTTCATACTCTGATGTTGGCATGTACACTTGCATAATCAGCCTTAGAGTATCATATAAGTCGAGAGAAGAAATTATTCACATAAATTTGTGTTCAACCCCTTCCACCCTCGTAAGTTATTTCACTCTTTCAAGTGTAACTGTCGTTATAGGAACTGAATATTTCCTGCTTACATGCCTAAATACAGTCTTCTATTGTACATATAGCCACTTTAGTCACACAGTTTGTAGGTCTTCGTTCGCATCATTTGTGTTTCTTTATTATATAAAAGTAAATGAAAATGAAGATGTCTGTATCTTTGAAATGCTTAGTGACTTCTTCCACTTCTAAATGTTCAGTTAAACCATATTATTTAACAAATGTGCCATTCATTTTGTCAGTAATGTCTCAACTTCCATAGTCTGTCATAATTTTAGCCTGACTCAGTTTCATTCCTGTTGTCACTGAGGTGAAGAAATCTGAGTGTATATATGAATCCTCTAATTTCAGTGTGTAGGTGAGGTGTGGGAAACTGTTCTAAGATTAAATTAAAAATCTTCCAGGGTATCTCATTGATCATTACACACCCCTATAGTAATGGCTAAAAAGGAGTACATTTTTGTACAGTCACATCAGATGGCTCAAAATGTTTTTCATTCAGTTCTTTCTGAGTACTGTTGGTAATATTTATTAGCCTCATCTGTCAGCAGTTGAACAGTTTCTAGAAGACAGAGCATGAAAACATTCACTTTTGTTAAAGACCTGTCTATGAAAGTAACCCCATTTATCTCAGCCGGTAGGTCCAACACTAAAGGTATGTGAGTTAGGCATGTGTGAGAAAGATGTTTTCAGTTCAGGGCAAGAATTTGGTTACATTTTGAGAAATCAGACAAGAATGAGAGTTTTGTGTAGTAGACCAGTTTCTTGTTTATAATAATTTATAACACTGAGCCACTTTTTTACAATGCCATGAAGTACACATCATATTTATCCAAATGGATGATGATTTTGAATATAAGACCATTCCACACTAGGAAGCTTGTCTGCACAGAATTAATTTTATGAATTGTACTCTCAGGCAGCAAATGTGAATCCTTCTTGAAGTCACTAGCCTTCACCATTCTCTATGAACTCTCTCAGCTTCAGTATCTTCACATTTCTTGTCTTTTGTCGCACATTCACTGCTCATATTCACTGCCACGTTTCCCAGCCATGTCCTCACCCTTCCTTCCATCCATTTTGTCATATGTACAGCATTTGTTAAATTCTTTGACTTGTAAAGAGAGCATTGGTGTGGTTTTTATCCACTGGCACAGCAGCTCTACACTGGACTTCTTTATTGTCTCGGCTGATGCCAGGAGTCATTAAAAATACTGTTATTTCAAATGGTCCTTTAAAGGCTTTTTCACTAAAATGTGTAGTTATGAGATCATGCCTCCAGGTATGAACACAAGGTTCATTGCATGAATCACAGATCTGACAGTTTAAGTGACCTTTAAATGCATCCAGCATAAGAATTTATCATTTTCTCAACAATACCCATGGTCTCTTGTTCCAGGCAACTTGTAACCAGTCCACCAATGGTTTCTTTATTCACTCATCCCACAGTTTGACTCCTGATAATTAGTCCTGTAAGCAGCTGTGCCTTAGTCATTGTTTTTGATTATCATATGTGGTGGTAGAGTTGTGTACTATCTGCCTGCTCATCTCAACATAGTCTTTTCATTGTGTGATGTTCTTATGACAATAGATTTTGCATGTACATCAGCAGTGCCCTAATTTAATGGCATATCAAAGTGCATAGACATTTTATTGGCATTGCCTCAAACTGTGACGGTAACTTTTGTAAAGTGACTCCCTGCAGAATGGATTAGCAGAACTAGAGGATATTCCTTTGGCTACATGGATTGCTATGTACTTTTCATCATTATGGAACCTGTTTTCGTTATAACCAACTTGTGATGCAACAGCTCAGTGACACTTTTCCTAATTGGTGGATCAGTCATGGCAGTACCATTAACTGCCCACCACTTGAAGAACAAGGTGTCTTGTGCCCAACAATACTGCTTTTCAGAGACTAACTTGGACTAACTTTGGACAAGGGATTATCTGGACAGAGTAATGAATAAGGTCTACAGGTCTTTGTTTACCTGTGGGGGCATGTTTTGAATAATGTGGGGACTGAAACTGAAGTTCTGTGCAGAATGTACAGATGGGTAGTCATTTTCATAATCTCCTGTCCTGCCATAGTGTGGTGGCCAATGGTGGAATTTAAAGCCAGCAGGACCAGACTTAGTAAATTGCAAATACTGGCCTACATCGATATAATTGGAGCCAAGCAGATGACTTACAGTTACAACTGAGGCCCTCCTTGAAGTTACCCAAAACTGAAGTTGAAGGCCAAGGCCTGAGTGAAATTTACAGTCAGCTGCAGTGGAGATTTTAACGCAAATCCGAGTGGTACATGCTAGCTCACAGACCTTGAAACATAGTCATCGCCGTGAAAACCTCAAATCTTACATGGAAGAACCCATCCGACAGATATGGACTCACAAATGATACCACAATATGTAATAGACCATTTGTGATGAGATTCCCTGACAAAGTGAAAGAGAAGGTAAGTTTCAGCCCCACAGAAAAGGGAGATTCTGGTAAGCAGATGAGTCCAAGACAAAGTCAGGCACTAGGTCTGGGGTGTATAAATATGTCAGAATGAAGAATCTTAGGTTTAGCCTTGGGCAATAATCATAGCATTCCAGGCTAAATTGCCATTTATGGCATGTGCAGTAAAGGTATCCCTGTACACAGACCATGGAGGCCCATAGGGTTGTGAGATGCTGAGGGTCCCACATTTTGTAGACAATCGGCTCATAGATGGCGATAAGATTGTCAGCCCTATGCACCGTCTGCCCCCAGGAGTATTCCTCCTACTCATTTATGCTAGAGGCCGAGTCGACCCCTGGGCCATAGTGCGGTTGGAAGGATTAGGTAAATTGAAAAACGACCTCATTATGCTACAAGCCAGAAGGTCATTAGATTTTTTCAATTGACCTAACCCCTCCAGCAGCACCATGGCCCTGGGGTCGACTCAGCCTCTAACAGGAATTAAATAATTTTCCTGGGGAGTAAAGAGCAGCCGGCGCATAAGGCTGACAACCTTACCGCCATCTTTGAGCCAATTGTCTAGATAATGTGGGACCCTCAACATCTCATGGCCTGTTACAGAGATAGCTCTACTGGCATGTGCAGTACACAACATAAATAGGCATTATAAGAATGGAAACCCTCATTTTCAGTTAGTGCAATAAAAGTATTTGACAGTTCACATCAATCTCTAGTAATATAGATGCCAGGAATTAAGGGGGAGTGAATTATGAACAAACTGGGAAGATCCAAATCCGAACTGGCATGTAGCATTTCATAAGTTTCAAAGTGGATCACCCAAAATGTCTGGTGAAAAACATGTCTAGAGAGTTTTTCAGGGGCCCTCTAAAATAATCAAATATTAGCACAGAAACCAGCAAAGCCGTGAAATTTACAAATTGGGTGTACGCCCATACCAATGCGCAAGACAAATGAAAAGACCAGCAATGGAGGTGATAAACAGTGGTTTCGGTACGTCACATATCCTTGACACTTCTTTGGCGAAGATAAAGCAAGCTGCGTACAAAATCAGTATGCATATAGAGTATTAGCAACTTTGCAATTGCGAAACTACTTACAAACAGACCAGAAGTAATTCCTATCCTTGTTAGTAGGATTTGTAAACATCGATGATCGACATTCACTCTATTGCACATATTTGAGGTATAGGCAGGTAAGTACCATGAGCAATTATGAGAGCATTAATAACCTTAATAACCAATGTAATGTACAGATGGGCCAACTTAGCCATTTGCACAAAAACCATTCACTTTCGATTCGACGCGCGACTGCGCACGCGCACATTGAGATCCAGGTTCGCCAACATTGGACATGAGCAACATGAGATTGGCCTAATTTGATTGGGATTCTGTTGCAGTAAACCATCGGTTAGCGTTTTATCTGCGATAAGTTAGAAAGTTATAAAGTTTCAACGAACAAATTAATGTAAAACAGATGTTCATCAAAGAATTTACAAATTTCATTTTCGTTTTATGTTCGTGATATTGCGTCACCTGTCGCAGCCTCCAATGTGTCATACTGTGCATATCGTTGACGCCGTTGACTAGCGCGACTACGGCCACTACGGCTGTCTGCTGTGTAATGGTGATAAGAGTGGAGGGGGTGAATTAGGCCGCATTGAAAATTCCAACATAAGTAAGAATATCGTAATATAAGTGTTATATTGTATTAGATTTATATATTCCGTGCAATTTCTCTTCTTTTTTTTTGTGAAATGTAAGATATATCTTATTCAATCCTGATTATATTGTGTAAGTCATTACGTAATAGGACTGCACCAAATATATCGATCGTAGTATTTATACCTGCTGTTTGTCAAATTTTGTTAATCTGATATTTGGAATTAAATGTCGGTATTAAATAAATATACCTTACATAATGGGCATTAAGAGTCCATGTCCGCGAGGTCAGCATTATAATGAGACTTCCGTACATAGCAATGCTAACTTTTACACGTACGTAAAAACTAACACAGTTACAAAACTCGAAAGTAGTTGGAACCATGTATTACTCAAAAATTTCGTGTATGTGCTGTTGTGTCAAAAGTTAAGGTTAGTAGGGCATATTTCCTTTTGATTTTCGAATTTGGTGAAAACCATGAAGGAGAAATCGGCATTACGTCAGATGACGAAACAGTTTTCTCTACATAGATCGCGTGTTTTAAGTACCTGGCTATAAATAAGTTGGATCTTGTCCAAAATGTGTGGGTATAGAGCGTATTGCGTTGAGCGGATTATCGCCAAACTTATCCGCAATCCCCCCCCATTACTGATTCTCCCTCCATTCATACCTTCGAAGAACGAAATTTTTCAGGATTCTGAACTTACATTTGTTGACAATTTTCATGTGTGTAAGAAATACCAGAAATAGTGCAAGAAGTGTGTTTCCTTTATTTTAGAAATACAAGAAAAATAAATATGCATCGTGTTCGGACAGTGTTAAACAATCTGGTGCCTTTAGCACCATTGATTCATAATGCAGTAGGACCTGAAGGATTTGCATCATGGCTTCTGAGGTCTGGCAATGCATCTTGCACAGTGATGGTGTCAAGTACAAGACATTACAATGCTCCCGTTCAAACAGAACCATTTTTGAATGGAAGCTCATCTGCATATGTTGAAGAAATGTACAATGCTTGGCTTGCAGATCCAAAAAGTGTGCATGTGGTAAGTTCTGTACAGCTGTTTATAGAATAGTGAATATATCAGAATGTTGACTGCCCAGCATGATATATGAAACAGCTCCAGTACCAGCATTTCTTGTCAATATGTCATCTGGCTTCACATATTCAGGGGTCGTACATTGCACTGAAATCACAGATACACACTTACTTACTTACTCATGGAGCTGAGCCCTTCAGGAGGAGCCGCCAATTCTGCAGCTACTCAAGAATTTCCCAGCATTTTATAGACCCCCAAAGGTTCATTACCATGTTCACAAGAGCCTTCCACTGGTCCCCATCCTGAGCCAGAGCAATCCAGTCAATACCATCCCATCCTATCTCTAAGATCCATTTTAGTATTGTCCACCCACCTAGGCCTTGGTCTTCCCAGTGGTCTCTTTCCTTCTGACTTTTCCACCAATATCCTGTACACATTCCTCGTCTCCCCCATTCGTGCTACATGCTCTGCCCACCTCATCCTCCTTGACTTGATCATTCTAATTATACTTGGAGAAGAGTACAAGTTATGAAGCTCCTCATTATGCAGTTTTCTCCAACCTCCTGTCACTTCACTTCTCTTCAGTCCAAATATTCTCAACACCCTGTTTTCAAACACTCTCCATCTGTGTTCCTCCTTTAATATCAGAGACCAAGTTTCACACCCATACAGAACCACAGGCAAAATTATAGTTTTGTATATTCTAATTTTTATGTTTTTGGACAACAGACGAGAAGACAAAAGGTTCTGGACTGAATGGTAGCAAGCATTACCCGAGTTCAGTCTCCTCTTAATTTCCTCCTGAATCAGGTTTTGATCTGTTATCGTTGTTCCCAAATATCTGAATTATGCCACATTTTCAAGACATCTGTTTCCTATCGTTATGTCATGATTTTGCCCTGAATTTTGGTGATGAGACAGCAACATATACTTAGTTTTCTCAGTGTTCACTTCTAGACCAACCTGTTTACTTGCGTCAATTAAAGTTTGTGTTTTTTTCTTTATGGTATCTACATTGTCACCCAGTAGATTCACATCATCGGCATAGGCCAACAGCTGATGTGTCCCGTTTAATTTCAGTCCCACCTGGTTTCCCTGGACCTTCCTAATGGCATATCCTAAAGCAAAGTTGAAAAAGAGTGGCAATAAAACATCTCCTTGTTTTAGACCATTCTGGATAGGAAATTTATCAGACAAATGTTTACACACGGACTTTACTATACGTTTCGTTTAAACACCTAACTAGTTTCATGGGTATCCCAAACTCTATCAGAATATTGTACAATACTGCCTTCCTAACTGAATCGTAGGCTTTCTTGAAATCTATAAATAGCTGATGTACTGTCTCATCATACTCCCATTTTTTCTCCAATATCTGACGAATGCAAAAGATCTGATCTGTAGTTGATCTGTTATGTCAAAACCCACACTGATGATCCCCAATAATTTCATCTATATATGGACTTAACCTTGAGAGAAGAATATCGGATAAAATATTGTGTGAAGTTGATAGCGGTGATATCCCTCAGTAATTACTACAGTCAGTTTTATCGCCCTTCTTGTGAAATGATACAATAATGGACTCCTTCCACTGATCAGGCAATTTTTCCTTATACCAAATAGACGTAATTAGATTGTGGATCTTAGAATGTAATATTTCACCTCCTATTCAAGTTCTNCATCTATATATGGACTTAACCTTGAGAGAAGAATATCGGATAAAATATTGTGTGAAGTTGATAGCGGTGATATCCCTCAGTAATTACTACAGTCAGTTTTATCGCCCTTCTTGTGAAATGATACAATAATGGACTCCTTCCACTGATCAGGCAATTTTTCCTTATACCAAATAGACGTAATTAGATTGTGGATCTTAGAATGTAATATTTCACCTCCTATTCAAGTTCTACCGGAATTTGATCACTACCTGGCGATTTATACCATTTCAATTTTTCAATATCACTCTCAACCTCAAAAGGGCTAGGATTAGATACTAACTGCTCAGCTGTATGGATTTTGTCTGCCTAACATCACTGACCCTATATACATTCAATAACTGAGAGAAGTAGTTCCTCCACCTCTTCAAAATGTTGTGGGAATCTGCAAGCAGATCACCATTCTCATCCTTCACTAAGTTACTGCTAGGCTGGTAACCCCTCTTAACACTTTGCAGACCGCGCACCCTTTAAAAGGTTTTTCACTTTTAAACATGGCGGACCATTCACGTGTTAACACGATAAGTTGCAACACACTCTACATCGCTCTGGCGCCACCTACATTGCACGCAACCACCTGCAGATGCGTGATAAGACTCTGGAATGTTTAGTTAGCAGTCAGTAACTTGACCTCGCTGTTTACTTAACCAACTATAAAGGAAAATGCTTTGCCTTCTTCAAGCTGTGTGTATCAGCCAGTAGCTAGTGGGGAGAATGTATCAAGGACAAATTCTCCTCCGATGACCTAGCTGACCTGCCTTGTGAGACGCGTAGTAATGGATTGCCATTCAGACAGTGACAGTGACGGGGGACAACAAAGAATTGTGGCCACAGACAGTAAAAGTGACAGTAGCTCCGACAATAATGCGGTTAATAACATTGCGCGTAGTAACATTGCAGGGACAGCAAAAAATCTAAACCCTGATTCAAAATTGAAATACAAAGCATTTCTGATGAATGTGGCAAAGGCCTGGGCTACAGTCCGGATGGTGGGGCAGAACCAGGGTCACACAAAGACTTAGTATGACCGGGCCCATCAACTCCCACCCCACGAAGGCCTCATGTGGACCCCCCAGGGCGACTCTTTGAGTGATATGCGGAAAAATACCCTCGTGAAAATTGTGAAGAGTGAACATTCCAAGGGGAAGAATAATTCTAGGCAATGCCGTGTTTGCACAGTTCACAAAAAAAGGAGTATGTCTACATTTGCAAGTTCTTTGTAATGCCACTTCACAAAGGGGAAAGTTTCCAGAAATATCACACCCTCAAGCACTTCTAGGAGCATTGGTAAGTGTTCTCCAAAAATTTTAGTTCAAAAAATTAATTAGGAGATTTTATATTAATTTTTAAAGTGAACAGTGCCCAAGTTAAGGTAGTATGTTTAAAAATGCTGGTCCCCAGATTGATGTAAATATTTAAATCACCGGTCCGCAAAGTGTTAAAGTCATTTATTCCTCTATACAGGTCTCTAAATGTTCTTGTTTGCTACTCTAACTCCATTATCATTACTAATTTCATGCAAACTCTCATTCCCAAGTGTTGGTTTGAAAATGTCTTCCCTCCATAATTTGGCATTGAAATCTCCTAACAAAATTTTCATGGGGTACTTCGAGAATTTATCAAATACATGTTCTAGTTCTTCATACAGTCTGTCGTTTATGTCATCAATTTTATCTTCTGTTGGGGCGTGAACATTCATAACAATGGTATCACACCAGCGACCTTTTAGTATTATATATGATATCCTATCAGTAACGAATTGTACCCTTTTAACTGCTGATACGATTCTCTTTTGTATGAAAAAACCTGTACCTAATTCATGATTTTCATTCCCCTTTCCATGTAAAAATGTATAGTTTCCTGCTGGTGTGATGCCACCTCCAACCCATCTGAACTCCTGTACTCCTGCTGAATCTAACTTATATTTTAAGATTTCTTCTACCACTGCCCTGAGCGAACCTGCCCTATACAAACTTCAAACATTCCAAGTGCCAAATCTCGTATCCATTTTCTTTAGCTTATGTCATTTATCCAAGGAATCCATCCAGGTCTGAGGCTTTGTGTTCATTTTCGTAACATACTTATGTTTTACGGTGAGGAGTTGTTAGCCCCACGCCCAACCCCCATGCTGGAGGGCCACCCCTTGATGGCTGTCCACAACTGCTTATTCAGTATATTCACAGCTTCCCTCCAAAACTGGAGTGTTTCTCCTCCATCCGCAACCTGAGGACACACCATACCGTGGTGACAAGGGACTCGCCTAACTGGACAGATACACACAGGAACATTAATTTCATTAGTTTAATATAAATAATTTCATGGAACAGTTTCCTTCATGAGAAGTTAATAGTTGCACAGCCCATCAATTTCTCTGTCTTTTATGGAACCTAAAGGTTCATATCCTATTCACAACAGCCTGCCACTGGCTGCTTCTGGGCAAGATGAATCCAGTATGCCCCCTTTATCACCCTATTTATTTATAATTTCTAATGTGTAATTAAGTCATTTACTTTTTATTCTTTCTGGGTCTGGTAAGCATAAATGAAATATGCAGAGGATTTTTATAGTAGATGACATGTGGATGTATGATATTGGCTACCATACTGACTTCTAGCACAAAAAAATCATAATAAAATACTGCATAACTTGTTCCTGTTGCAACTAATCTTCATTACACATCGCAAATTATGCCTTAACCTTGTCCATATCTGGAGATATTTCATTGTGCAAGTAGAGCAGTTGAAATCTTTGTGTTAGGTAGGCAGAATCATGTCTTAGGGAATTGGTACTGAGATGCATTTACCATGTTCCTACTTAGGTAAGCGGCCTCCGTAGACTAGGGGTAACGTTCCCACCTCATTACTCAAGGTACGTGGGTTCAAACCTGGCAGAGGTCGTGGAATTTTTAAGGGCAGAAAAATTCAGGGAGCAAGTCCTCCGGGAGGGACTTTAAGCCGTGGGTCCCATGTCATAGATTTACGGCACATAAAAGATCCTCATGTCTCTAGGAGACCTCTGAGCTAAATTAGGCAAAAAGTTTACCGCCCAAGTAGTCCAATGCCACTGGTAGATGGGAGAAGTATCAGGTACCGAGGGCTGACCTCGTTGGCTGAACAGGGCTGATAGCACGCACCAGTACAGGTAGGGTATGGCGACTGGTAGAATATCAAAAGGGGACGTACAATAGACTACTAGCCGCGGTGCATGGGGAAACCCACCCCCTCTAATAGTAATAATACTTAGGTAAGTGTAAATACAGGATATTGTGAATGGGTTACAATGTGAAATACC